TGCCTTAGGTAATTTCTGAACAGAGGAATTTTTGGGAGAGCCGTGAGGGAGAAGAAGGGAGCTTGATCCCGTGGGTGGGATCCCTCCCTTCAGATCTCAATCTGCTTTTTTTTTTCCAGAAATTTCACCTTGTTTGATTCTGATTCTCATAGAGTTTTGCTTTATTAAAATTGTACTAGATGATGATACTGCAAATGAAATCAAGCATGTTTGTTGAATTTCATGGATCCGAATTGGAATGGATGTTTACTTGCTTTCTTTGTTCTGTTCTGTTGGATGGCCGAACAGAAAATCCAAATCCTTTTTGTTTCTATCCAGATTTCATTTTGGTCTAGCTTTTAATCTGTTTTTGCCCACTTTGGTTGGTGGGTTCGTGTTTTTGGATGGATCAACCCGACCCAATCCAATAAAAAAAAACTAAAAAGGTTAAAAAGTAAAAAAATCAAAAGTTATCTCTTTTATTTCAATTTCGCACAATCTTTTCATGTTTAAGCACTTTAGTCCAAACGTTTTAAATTTTTTTCAAATCAGTCCTCTATTTTTTATTTTAATCAAATCAGTCCATTTAAATTTTATTTGTGTTTATTGTGCATGCATGTTCTTGATTGTCTATTTCAGTCCAAAAATTAAAAAAAAAAAATGTTTTGATTCGCTTTATCTTTTTTTCAAGTTTGCTTTTTAAGACTCAAACATAAATATAAGAAATAAGTTGAATTAAAACCCCAATTTTAAAGTATGCAACTGTGTTTAAACGGAGGATTGTGAGGTGTGCGTATGCCCTTCCTCACTCCTAACCGAACCTTCGAACCTCGATTTCTACGCAGACTTATTTTAGGTGACTTGTCCTACCTTATAATTTGGACGAGTGGCGACTCCCTCTTTTTTTATATTTTCACACTTAATTTTTCATTTATTTTGAAAAAAACCTTAAGTGGTCGTCAACACACTGGTTGACAAACAGAGGGAAGGTCTTGAGGTACGGTTTCTCAGATTGGCTCCTCAATCCCCATCTATGTAATGTTAGTGCTTAAGTGCATAGGTACATAGGCACTATAAATGTTATGTAAATGGGTTAGAGTACCCCTTGTACTCAAAATAAAAGTGTTTTTTTGCCTTTCAAAAAAAAAAAAAAGTAGAATATCTTATATCAGTTAGAAAAACTATTAAATTAAACTTAAGTATGATATAATTATTTCATTTATTATCAATTAATTTTAGGTTATTTATTGTCAATTAATTTTAGATTATATATTGGCATGCATTATTATCCCAAAATCAATGCATCCTATATGCCTCATATATTAAAGCTTAAATCTATTATAATGTAGGTATCCAATGGGAGGTTATGGTTGAAGCGGACCTCATTGTGCAACTTGTTATAGAGTAAAACGTTGGGCAGGGATTTACAAGACAAATATGGTAAAACAAAACAAACTAAAGAAGATGGTATTCTTCAGTGCTGAAAACATTAAAAATCTATGGGATACACGGAATATCAAAGGATTGATTATTCTAAGCCTCTTGGTTCAATCTTTCTTAATTCTGTTTGCACCATTGAGGAAACAAAAGGGGGGGAAATGGATCGTCATGATTCCTATCTGATTCGCATACTTGCTTGCGGACTGGGTTGCTACACTTACAATTGGACTCATCTTACGGGCTGAACCTAGTGACATCTTGGTATTTTGGGCACCCTTTCTTTTGTTACATTTTGGTGGCTCCGTAAATATTGCTTCCTTCTCTATGGAGGATAATGAGCTCTGGATCAGACACGTATTTGGACTTGTGTTACAAATTGGTTCAACTATATATGTTATCCTTCAGTCACTCCCCCAGAACAAGCTTTTGCTCCCAACCTTCGTCGTGTTAATTGCAGGCACAATCAAATATGCAGAACGGAATCGTGCTTTTTATCTTGCATGTTTTGACCATTTAGGGGATAATTGACGGACCCACCATTGGCCGATAATTGGCGAGCACTGGCCGTTTGGTTATTTGTTTTATGGCAGGTTTCCAAATCAATTTCTTAATACAAAATTTTTCTGTAGAGATGGGATATTTGCTGTGTTTGGCATTTTCAAGAGCCTACTGGTAGGTCCTCGTATGCCTTCAGAACAAAAAGGTTTTGTTTTATCAACAATAAGTCGTTCAAATTCAGGTGAAGTGCTAAGTTGCTCACATTCAAGTGAAGTGCTTTCCATACCTAACCTAAACAATAAATTTTCATACCTAACCGAGTCAATGCTAAAAAAAAAAAAATGTTGACGAAGAAGAAGTTAATTTAAATTCATTGAACGGGGGAGGATTTGTTTTTTACTACCTGTACCTAAAAATGAGTGCCAAAATGATGTTTCATTGTTTCTCCTTGGAGCAAACCTTGTTAGGCGTTGGTTGGACAGGAT